CATGGAGTGAGGGGGGAGGGAGAAGCCAGGCGGGGGTGGGGCTGCAGGTGTTGGCAGCTGCAGGGCTTCTCCCTCTCTGCCCTCAGGGTTTGGGGGTTTCATTGACCCCCATGGGGGAGCCTCTGCCCTGGAGAATGTGAAACAGGGAGGACAGAAGGGGCTGGATGAAGAGCTGGGCCCTCAGAGCAGAAGGCCCCAGGGAACCTCATTCCTACCAGCCGTGTGAGAGCTGTGAGGGATTGAAACCCCTGAGCCCAGAGTTGCCTCTTCCCCAGCAGCTGCCAGCCGGTCACTGGGAACTGCAAACCCCATTGGGCACCCCACATGGGGAATTATTGGTTAAACTGGAAAAGATAGGAATCAATATGAAAATTGAGAGGCAGATAAGGAACTGGTTAAAGGGGAGACTACAGCGGGTCATACAGAAAGGTGAACTGTCAGGTTGGAGGGAGGTTACTAGCAGAGTTCCCCAGGGATCAGTTTTGGGTTGATTAGTCACTGTATGGGGCAGCTGTAGTGGCTGCGATGAGCTCTGCTCTGATGTCATGTCTGTGCCAAGAGTCCTGTGGGAACAGAGCATGTGCAAACTATCTGTGCGCCGGCTGTTGGCTCTGCTCCTCCAGAAATGTCTACTGCCCTGAACTGCACACTCTGCAGTATAAGCACTGTGCTCCGAGGGAACCGGCTTACAATATATAAGTATATACTATGATATACAGCTGGGCTGTTTCTAGACTGGCCAGTTTTTTTGGAAAATCAGCCGCTTTTCCAGAAAAACTTGCCAGTTGTCTACACTGACCGCTTGAATTTCTGCAAAAGCACTGACTTCCTACTGAAAGAAATCAGTGCTTCTTGCGGAAATACTATTCTGCTCCCGTTTGGGCAAAAGTCCCTTTTGTGCAAAACTTTTGGGCAAAAGGGCCAGTGTAGACAGCTGAGATTTGTTTTCCGCAAAAAAGTCCCGATGGCGAAAATGGCGATTGGGGCTTTTTTGCCGAAAAGCACGTCTAGATTGGCCACGGACGCTTTCCGCAAAAAATGCTTTTGCGGAAAAGTGTCTGTGCCAATCTAGACGCTCTGTTCTGAAAATGCTTTTAACTGAAAACTTTTCCGTTAAAAGCATTTCCGGAAAATCATGCCAGTCTAGACGTAGCCCTGTGGTATATGAGTGCGTGTGCTATAGATAGTATAAGCCAGCTCCTTACGTGCATCAGCTGCTGGCCGTGCTCCTGAGGAGCTGACTACCACCTCGTGCTGCAGGAGTCTGCACCAGCTCCCAACTCCTGGCCCTGCTTCTGCAGTCTGTAAGGTTTATACTACAGTCCAGGGTGACAGCTGGCTCCCTGGAGCAGGGGAAGCTGTCAGGAGCAGGCACATGCCAGAGTTGTCATGCGCTAGCAGGGCAGAGGAGTTTAACTGCAGGTGGCATCCTTTAGCTGATGCTTATCAGTTAACCTGTTAAATGATTAAACTCTTCTATCCCTATCCCATGACCGCACGACTTGACACTACTTGTGACACTGCTCTGTCCCCAACCCAGACCTCCCACATTCTTTCCCTTACCTCCCCTCTCTGAACTGGTAACTGGGGGTGGTCCTACAGCTGAAGGAGCTGTTGGCAATTCTGCTGCTTTCCCCATCCTGCCCCTGCCAGCAGGGAAGGGAACAGAAGGCCCAGCTCTGGCCCTGCCTCTCCGCAGAACTGCCTCTCCTCCAGCTGCCCAGCTCCAGCTGCCCAGCCATGCCAGAAGAAAGTTCTGTGGGGAGAGAAAGGTGCCTTGGGAGTTTTGCTCCCTTCCCAGCTGTGAGAGATAGAGCGGGGAAAGCAGTAGAATTGCCAAATGTTCCTCTGGCTGCTGTTCTGTGCCCAGCTCCTCCACCCCCTCCCCCAACTTGTTCTCCTGTGGGGGCATGTGCAGACAGAGCTGGAGTAGAGGCAGTTCTGTGGAAGGGCTGGGTCTGATGTAGTGTCCAATCCTTCCACACACCTACCAGCTAGAAACGCCTTGCTGGTACTGCATACGGCACCGTGCTGGCCTATTGCACTGCTCTTGTTAACTGTTCCAATCCTTCCCTTCTGAAACGCTTCTCCCAGGGAATCCCCAGGTCTCCTTGTTCCTGGGAGAGGAATGCATCTGTCTCGCCTACCATCAAAATCCAGCCAGGACATCAGCAGTGCTGGGCATGACCCAAACAGAATCCAAAGCACCATGTCTAATGGGTTAGCTGGTTTTGCTCTTTCTCACCGACTACTGGGAGGAGCAGTTGCAAGGGGTAGAGTCTGGCTGTATGAATTATAATCACCAAGGACAATCCTGGGCTATTGTGACCACAGTGTGCAAGGGAAAGTAAAAAAAGTTGCAGGGCAGAGGGGTGCTGACTATGGAGCCTCTGGACTTTAAGAAATCCATTTGTTCACATATTGGTCTCTGGCTGTAATGGCTGGGAGGTGGGAGTCTAGTCATAGCACTTTCTAGCTGAATTTCTTCACAGTCCACGAGGATCCCAATGCATGAAACACCATTTTGGAAGGAGTGGTGCCAGGACGTGAGGGAGGGGCAGTGCGGGTATTATTAAGTTTGCTGAGAAGAGGAGGGAAGAGGGAAGTCTGAGAGCATGCGGAGCTAGGGGTCAGGAAAAGAAGAGGTTCTATTGGCATATAGAACGGTAGCTAGGAGACAGTATGAGGAAAAATCTATTGCAGAGTTTCCCAATTTTATTTGACCACAGAACCCTTTTAAACTCAAAAGAATTTTGCAGAACCCTTAACAGTCAAATATATGGAGCTGAAAAAGTAGAACACAAATAGGTAAGGATAATAATAAACAAATGCTAACCAAGGTCATGAGATCATCATTTTGTTTAATTACATGTTTAAAAACAAAAATAACATCATATTAATTATTATTTTTATTTAACTCATAAAATGTTACTGTAATAGAATTTTCTCATGGAACCCTTATTTTCACTTCATGGAACCCCGGTGTTCCACAGAACATCATTTGGGAAACACTGCTCTATTGGCTCATAGGCTATGTCTACACTGCCACCCTAGTTCAAACCAGGGTGGCTAATGTAGTCATTCGAATTTGCAAATGAAGCCCAGGATTAAAATATCCCGGGCTTTATTTGCATGTTCCCGGGCGCCGCCATTTTTAAATGCCCGGTAGTACACTAGACACCCTAATTCGAACTAGGGTGGCTAATACAGTCATTCAAACTTGCAGATGAAGCCCAGGATCTAACTATCCCAGGCTTCATTTGCATGTTCCCAGGCGCCACCATTTTTAAAAGCCCGGTAGTTTGAACTACCTGCCCGTGGCTACACGTGGCACGGGCTAGGTAGTTTGAATTAAAACTCCTAATTCGAACCACCGTTACTCCTCCTGCAGTGAGGAGTAATGGTAGTTTGAATTAGGAGCTTTAATTCAAACTACCTAGTCCATGCCACGTGTAGCCATGGGCAGGGAGTTCGAACTACCACACATTTAAAAATGGCGGCGCCCGGGAACACGCAAATAAAGCCCGGGATATTTTAATCCTGGGCTTCATTTGCAAATTCGAATGACTACATTAGCCACCCTGGTTCGAACTAGGGTGGCTAGTGTACACATACCCCCAGAGACACAGAAGTAGGCCCAACTGGTGTGAAAGGCTTCAGAACATGCAGGCTTGTTGAACCCCAATTAACCCTCACAGGTCCTGCAGATGGGACACTGGACTGTTATTTCCTGGTCTGGGAACTGAGAGGGGGAAGGAAGCTGGCCCCTGCCACAAGGGGGTGTGTGGGGTGTGAGTTGGGGGGGAAATGGATCATGTGACCCACAAGCCTACGTGGCCATTGCACAGAAGGAGATTGGGGGGAATCCTCTCGCTCTTGTGGAACAGGGGATGTGCCACTCTGGGGCTTGCAGGAAAGGGACATTCCTGAGGTAAAAAAGAGAGGGGTGGGAGCATAGAAGGTTGCTGGGCACTGAGATGAGAATGAGCCTTTCCCAAATCCAATATTTCTTTTGTTTTAGTTACAAGCCTACGTGGCCATTGCACAGAAGGAGATTGGGGGGAATCCTCTCGCTCTTGTGGAACAGGGGATGTGCCACTCTGGGGCTTGCAGGAAAGGGACATTCCTGAGGTAAAAAAGAGAGGGGTGGGAGCATAGAAGGTTGCTGGGCACTGAGATGAGAATGAGCCTTTCCCAAATCCAATATTTCTTTTGTTTTAGTTGAGGTGACCAGATGTTGATACAGATGTTCAAGATGTGGTCGTGTCATGGCTTTATATGGAGGCAACATGACATTTTTTTTCTTATTATCTATTGCTTTCCTAATGACTCCCAATATTCTATTTAGTTTTTAGACTGCCACTGTATATTGAGCAGATGTCTTCAGAGAACTGTTCCTAATGATTCCAAGACCTCTTTCTTGAGTGTTAACAGCTATTTTACATCCATCATTTTTGCATCTAAA